TCATGCGCGCTCTGCAGCAAGCTTTCCCGGAGCGCTGTGGCTTGTGCGCCTGTCCCTTTCAGCTCAGCACGCCTTGGGACACGCTTGCAGCGGAAATACACGAGCACTTCATTTCTACTGGGGATGGTGCGTCTTTTCTGACCACCTCCCCGGAAGCAGCGTCTGTTGCGGCTTTTTTGAACGCTTCCCCAAGAGCAGCCTCTGGCAGTGGTGCGGCTTTTCTGCCCGCCGCTGCCGGGGAAGGTGCGTCTTTTCTGCCCGCCTCCCCGAAAGCAGCCACGACTCGCAGACCTGCGTGGGCTGACGTGCAGGACGACTCTGCCCACGCCGCGGCTGCGCCCAGCGCCAAGAAAAAGAAAAGGGTGTCCTTCGCGCCAGAGGTGGCCCAATCTGCCGCGGCCGACGTGGAGGACACCGCGCTGTGCTTGGTGCTGCCTTGCGATGCCCCACTAGGCGTGCTCTTTCAGCCAGGTGCGCAGACGCTGTCTCGGCGCGGGGTGGACTGCTTGCTTGACGTTACTTCGGACGCGACCTTGCTTTCGTTCCGGGTCATACAGAGCGCGGAGGACGCTCAAGGCTTGATTGCCTACGCTAGCGAGTTGCTGGCATCTAGTCGGGAGTTGCAGCAAGAGCTTGCAGCGCTGCAGCGTATGCTTGTTGCCGCGGAGGTTTTTCCGGAGTTGCCTCTTGGTGGTATGCCGGCCATGGCGCTCTTCCAGTGTCTGGTCTTCCTTTACATGTGGTCGGTGCTCACCTTGAATTATTCATTTTTGCTGTCCAGCACCTTCTTAAGACTGGTGGCTTTGCCGCTGCAGGAGGCGAAATATTTTGATATCTTGGCCGTGGTGCACAAGTACTGCTACGTCACGTGGCTCCACCGGACGGCGCGTCCGAGCTGCTGGCAAGGCAACGCTCTCCGCTTATTGCTGCCAGACACTGCCGACTGGGAGGCTTGGTGGGCGGCGCAGCAGGACGTGGCGCACGAAATTGATGAGACTGCCTTCTCGGAAGAGTACGCGCTTATGTGCAGGGATCCTTTGATCCCCGAGGGCTACCGGGCAGACTTGAAGCAGGTGCGGCGCCATGTGGCTGCTTCCGATCTCGGCTTGCTGCCGGAGCTTCCGCCGCGGCAGTCCTTTATGGAGCACGATGTTTACTTGGAGGCAAGCGGCGCTTTGCCCTTGCCGAGAGCCTTGCCGGCCATTCGATGCTCGGCCGGGGCGATGGAGGTGAACTGGGGCGACAACACTGGTGAGCCCCTAAACACTTCGCGGGACAATGTGATCTCCGAGACGGATGTCTGCTTGCAAGTCCCGGTGCCGGTGCCTGCAGATATGACTTTGGGGCACGTCCTGCTTTCAAGGGACTGGCGAGCCTCTTTCGAGCAATCCAATCTCGGCATGCCTTGGTGGATGTCAGACGCAGGCGGCTTTTCTGCCCCTGCTGCTGGCCACGCAGGCGGCTTTTCTGCCCCTGTCTCAGCCCTTGGAGCGCAAATCCACTTGCAAGCTTTGGGAGCTGAAATCATGGCCACGCTGAGGCCCGACAGTGTGATGCATCCACACTTGCGAGCACACGTGGAGCTCATGCTGGGCATGTGTGCTTCCGTGCACTTGGCGCGCCAGGAGGCTTGGGATGTTGCCTTGTATGACTTTCTTTTAGGCTGCGGCATCAGAGCGCAGCGCACGCGTCCTGGCGATGCCGATGCCGGCTGGGTGGCGCATAACTACCGCAAGAGGCACCACGCTGCCCGCTCTGTGGTGCGACCCGTTTGCTGCACCATGTGGGGTGAAAAGTATCGCCCCATTGGATACTTAAACGATGCGGGGGACATCGAGCACTACTTGGTGCACGACACATGCCCTCTTGGAAGATGTCGCAGGCACAAGCAGCTTATGGGCTTTGGCACCGTGTGCCCACACTGGCATGGCTTCAACAAAAAACACGGCATCATGGCCACTCTGAACGCGCAGCGATACTTGAGGTACACGGAGATCGGAAGCAAAGGGGCTGACCCGCGCGCGCGAGACCAGCGGGCCAGCCAGTATCTTCGCACGCTTTTGCAGGAGTTAGGCTTTGTGGCCCGTGCGGACGAAAGAGCAGCAGACGGCGATGACCGCGTGATGCTCATAGGCCTTCCCCGCTGGCTCCCTGAGTTTCACAGCAACGAAGGCCAAGACATACCCGGCTTGGTTGCCTTTACTCCGCTGCACGCCAAAAAACACTTCGAGCAAAATGACATTGACGAGTGTCTCCAGCTTCGCACCGCGGCGCAAGAGGTGCACGATGACCTTGAACGCTTGACAAGACAGCGCTGAATGCGCTTGAGATGCGCCAGGGTGCGTCTTTTCTGACCGCCCGGCGCTTGCCAGGCCGTGTGCCTTGCAGTGTGCCTTGCCTGGCAGCATGCGTCTTTTCTGACCGTGCTGCCTTGAACAGAGACAAAGTGAATCTGCCCGCATAAAAAGGAAAAAGAGCCGGTGGGACAACGGGCGGGCGGATGGTAACAACGGGTAAATGATGGAGGCTTAAGACTTGTCAAACATTTGCGGTCAGGCAGGCTCCCTGTCAGCCAGGTTTTCTTTCCAGTTTTTGTCCGAGCGGTGGAATAGTTGCCTGTGAAGACATGACCTGTGGATTTCTTTTGTGACCGTTTGGCCATGTTCGTCACAAACAAAACATGATTGGTTTTCAATTTGGCCCCAAACATGTTTGCCCTGGTTGTTCAAGCCTCCTATAGTGGTTCTTTTTTAGAAACTTCCGCCACCGCCTTGCGCGGTACTACTTGTATATAGAAATCAAAAGGGACGTTAGACAGACATCCTTGGCAATGCAAAGGATGCGATGATGATAGTTATCCAGGATGCAGAGGATGCCTCGCCCCCGCCGGGCCAGGTGCTGCTGAGAGAGGTGCTTACCGACTGAGCTACGGGGCGTTTGGGGTGACAAGGCAGCCAGCCGAGCTTGTCATTAGAGACACAAGTGATGATGATGATGACGATGATGCAGCCCAAAACAAAGTCTCCCACACCTCTCCCACACCTCAAATTAAAAAATATTAATTTGAGGTGCTTTCCCTGACAAAAAGCTCGCTTGAAAAGAGACACAAGGATGCCACTGAACAATTGGGCAATGGATGACTGTCGTGATAACGATCATCGTAGAAACGATGACATTGCGGAATCGGTGACTTGTGACGCTGAAACGACGACGCGTGCCGCAGACACAATCACCTCTGCCACACAAACGATGACATACCTCGCAGAACCGAGGAAACCGTCATCTGTCACAGAAACGCTGACATTTTTGTCAGGGAAAGCACCTCAAATTAATATTTTTAATTTGAGGTGTGGGAGTGGCATCCTTGTCTCTTTTTCCTGGTGAGTCTTTTGTCAGGGGGAGCACCTCAAATTAAAAAAATAATTTGAGGTGTGGAAGACTTTGTTTTGGGCTGCATCATCGTCATCATCATCATCATCCTTCTCATCATCATACGGCCGGCTGAGTCACAATCAAGACCAGGTTAAAACATGCAAGTAAAAATCAAAAGGGCAGCTGCGCCCATTGATTGGGGCTGTTTCCCGAACTTCCCTTTCCTAGGCCCAACAAGCCAGCCGATTCGTGCGCCGACAGCTACCCACGAAGGGGTCGGCGGCACAGGGCGGCAGCCCTTAAATACATATCATGTTGAATGATGGATTCATTGTAATTCAACAGACTTGTAAATGCAGGAAATGTCAAAACACGTACTTAAAAAAAATAACAATGATAATGAAAGCCTGACACATACGTCTAATTAATCTACGTCTTGACTTTGATTGTTTATTTATTGTAGTGTGTTCTTTAAAATGAACATAGTTGAACAATATCTACCTTGCATTGTGTCTACTCTATGTGTGTCTTGTTTATCTCTTACTGTTAACCATCTTCAGATAATGGACATTCATATGCTTTCATACTTCTTGCATTTACAAGTCTCTTGAATTACAATGAGAAATCCTACGGCTATTTATCGTTCTAGCCTGTCATCATTTATTAAGCTTCTGTTATCTATGCATCGTGTTATCTCTTTTTGGTCTATGCAAAATTGGCTGCTTTCCAGCTCTAGATGCCAAGCCCACACATCACCTATCTTCACTTCTCACTTTCTGGTATATATTTCGTCTTTTTATTTATATATATAGATTGCTTTCTCATTTCCTTCGTCTCTTGACCTCCTCTTTGCATTCAAGGTCAGACTCATCCAAAAGATTAGACCACCATTAATAGAAGAGAAGAAAACACACAAAATTTGTTTGCAAGCATGTACTAGCTTATTGATCTGTGCAATGCTTTTGAGGAAGGCACGGGCTCTCTTCTGAGTACTCTCTGTCCTTCTCTCCTCTCTACTGTCTCTCCCTATCTCCTTTCCCTGAACTAGTCTCAACAAATGAAAAGATGGACATGGAAAGGAGAGAGGGAAGGGATGGAGAGGCGGTTTATATCTTTGGTCTTGGGACCTTTCCTTCGCTCACTTCGCTCTCTCACCTACTAATCTCACGCCATCTCTTCTTGCTGCTCAACCTTTCGTTTTCACTTGCTGGCGGCATTACCTAGAGTTATAGAGGTGGAGAGATGTGGAAGAGGTTAATACTCATCCTCTCATTCACCTCTATACCTATCATTGACCTCTCGACCTATTGTTCTCTCTTGGTATCTCTCCATCTTTTATCTTCTCTTTCTCTGTTTCTATTGCTCAGTTACAAACTCCAAGATCTACAAATGTAAAGATCTGGACATGTTACTTGGTGTCTTCTCTATGTCCTTTGTATCCGTAAGCATCCTGACGTTCAATCCCCAATCCATTCCTTTCTCTCTTGTCATCGTATATCCTATCTCCTAGAGTCAGAGCTGCACGGACAAAAAAAAAAAGGCTTAGGGTAATGCCCTTCACATCCTGTCTTTGCCGTGATTGATGAGGAAAGGGTGACATCAGCGCACAAGCTCCCTTGCCGTGCGGCGGTGTTGAGCTGTCCACCAGGAGCTGACGTTGACGTGGTGCTGATGGAGCCCAGGTTGCCCAGTTGGATGCAGCCACGGTCCTGGCTCGAATGTCTCTGATGGTCATAGATGGCATCGCAAGGCTACGCTCCGAACAAAGCACCGGCCGTAAACTCGGCGAAACCGCCCATTGCCATCGGTTTCGGCTGAGGGCTCCTGGCAGGTAGCGATGTTCACCGGAATGGTCACCTCTTCGCCATTCACCATCATTGTGTTGGTAGGGCATCTGAGCGCGGCACTTTGGAAACAGCAATCCTGTGATACGTCAAGGGAGGGCCCAACCACAGGCCTGTGGTGACTCGGCGACTGCGAGCCCAGCCAGTCCGACTTAGCCAGCGCATGTATCAAAACCAGCTTGCCATATCAAGGCCCCGAGTTTCAGTGCCTCGATCCTGAACGAATTTCCCTAACGACAGTCCGGCAGCATCTTCATCTCCGAGTTAGCCCACAAATCACCATTGATGAGATTGTGGGCTTGGATGATGCCACTTACAAGAATCATTCACGTCAGCTTGTCGTTAAGAGGATGCGGCATGATAGGAGCATGTTCGGTGCTAATTGTCCAGTTGCAGCACAAAGTCCGCATCCTTCTTTCAGATATCACGGCACAGCAAAGGACAATGGGTTATGCCAAAATGACAAAATTACCATCTTCAAAGCCTCCAGTTGAACTCAAAACAGGTATCCAGCCTGACAATTTCTGGAGGTTCACAACTCATCAGGCACCTCACCAACACCCGAGCCAAGCTGCTTCTGGTTGCAGTACTCCGTAGCCTCCACGCGGCAGGTGTACCTCTCCTGGGGCGTGTTGTAGGCTTTGCAGGTGCCTCAGACATTGGCATAGCCCATCTCACCCCATCTCCGGAATAAATTTGGCGTGCTGATTGCAAAGTCAGTGGAAGAGCTGAATGTCGGCCTGCTTTATCAACATGACCCGTCGCGCCCACATACACATCGGCTACTAGGAAAGACAACACCCGCAATCGAGGCTTGGTGAACAGCAGCAGCTTTAGAGCGTTACGATATGATGCCTCGCAAAGATCCAAGCAGCTGTTGTAGCACGGAGAATCAGCTGTGGCCAAGGTCAAAGGGCAGAAGGTCTCCTGGTCCTGCGAATGACTCGTGCCAGAACTAAACCAACTACAGGTATCAGGGTTAGGGAGCAAATAGACTGACTGGTGCAAGTGTTTACAGAAAACTGATCAGATGTGGGGAAGGGTGGCTTCTATGTTGTGATCCAAAACATGGTCTTGGCGTCTTGAATAGCGGGCGCTGCGTCTCAAATGTTTGGCATGCAAGCAGGCTAGATCCTGAGCCGTAGTGTTCTTCATGCAAATGATGGCTTCTCACTGAGTGGCCATGGTGACAAACACCTGCGATTTGCCAAGCGACATGCTCTTCAGGTGTGGGGCTTAAACCTATCGCAGCTTCGCGGAGGGTTTGCTCTATCTCTACATGGGGGAGGGGTTCTCAAATTTCGGGGCCCCTTTTTGGATGGTTAAAGGGCAACCAGCAGGAAACCACCTATCTGGAGGGGTCCGCAATTTTGGAGAACCGCCCACGACTCGCTTTGCGAATCACTCCTATTCATTGCAGAAAATTGCCCCACATTCTTTGGCTGCGTAAGGATGGCACACCATGCTGCGGGAAGTAACTTGCCACGGGAAAAAAAAAAAAAAAAGCGCTCCGGAATTTCGCCTCCCAGTTGTTGAGTGCGAGCATGATCTGGTTGGAGTCCAGGTTTTGGATGACGTAATCATCACCCCTGAACCTTGACGCATTGGACTCAAGGCCGGCCTATCTGCCCAAGAGAATGCCACACGCAAATAACCCGGTGACTGCGGACAGCTGGCAGAACCGCGCAACACGTCGTTCTGGACAAAGAGATGCGCACAACAACTGCGGCTGAGCAATACCAATAAGTATCAATGATCTTCAAGTTTCTTGTCACGCTTCACAATTGACAGCACATTGCTTCGCAACCCGCTGTGCGTAAATGCATTCATGTCGTAATGTTATGCCTTGAGGCTTGACCCTTGCCATTGGTGCCACTAAGTCATTTTGGTCGGCATACGCCTTGCTTTGAGAATAGCCAAGGCTAAGGTGTTCATTCCTGAAAACCAACACCACATTTCGTGGTGGCAATCAGCACCAGTTCATCGGAATGCCTCTGCCAAGCTAGCCCAGCATGCCTAAGTTTCTGATATCATTCCAAAGGGCACATCCAAGACCGAAGATCGGCCGCAGAAAGGGCCAAAGGCATAGCACTTGCGGCCATTGAAGACCACACTGCCGTTCACCTCAAGTGAGGTGGACATCGGGCGTGAGTGCTCCAAGCTTCTGCCAAGCTGACCAAGTCCCAGCAATAACCCAATACCCCATCTTCATCAATCATTTCGTTCCTGTGAAGCGATGAATTGCTGTCACCTTCAGGCAAACACTAGCAATACGGAACTTGGCCATGTTTGGACGGTCGGACAATGGCGTTGCTTGCACATAGGCCCACTCAAGTAAATATCGACATTGCCTTTGCCTTTGAGTTGACTCGTCGCCTTGCAGACCTTTGCATGATACATGGGCTCCGAGAAACATATGGCCATAGGTCAAAATCCCGTACCTCCAGTGAACATCCCAACACCCACTAAAATAGACTAAAAGGGGTGGTGCACCTCCTCCAAAATGGTACCATTGGTTTTGACCCACAGCCATATGGCACACCCTTGCTTCCAAGAGGTGCCCGACCATCGGGTGCCAGCCCACAAGCTCAGGACTCTAAGGGTTGATTCCCCATTCTTTCCCACCATCGTTCTTTTCGAAAACCGGCCGTTTCCCTGGCTTTGCGGAGGTTTTCTAGAAAGAAGGATCCCTGGAAGGAATGGGGAAGGTAGCACTAGAACTCTAGGTAAGGACAACCCAGGTCTCAAAAGCTGCTCTGCGTTCCAACTGGTCGACATTCAAATGTGTAAAATCCATGGAGCAGGTCTCTCGGTTTGACTCCCTGCCCGTTTTTCTGCCAAGGCACGCTGGAAGGATCACCGCTGAAACCTCGCCGCTTTGCCAATGTTTGAGGAACTGGGATACATGAAATCCACGCGGCGGCAGTTTCAATTGCTATCTCCGAACGAGCTGGGCGCAAAAACGTCCCAAGGTCCTGGTTCCGCGTAGTTGCCGACTTGTTTTACATTGACAGCATCCCAGACGAGCCGAGAAGCTCCAGGATCCAGAGTAGATGGTCCATGGCCGGTTGTCGCCCTCCGATCGCTTGTGATCCTTATCCAGGTCCGCCACCAAGGAGGTGCCGTCGATGGTGATGTTCATGATCTGCCTCACTCCGTGCTGTGCGGCTCTGAGTCGCTTTGGGCCAGAAAGACGTGGGACTTTCCGTCTTTCAACTGGGTACCCCGCATGGTGACAAAGGTCTCAGACTAACGTCCTGTTGCTGGTCGTCAAGAGAAAGCCAAAAGCTGGGCAACGCTTTTAAAGCGGAACCGATTGCTTCGTCGCTCCCAAAGGCCATATTCAGTGGGGCATGCATTCTCAGGCCGCCCCACTTGGCCATGTGGCCACTAAGATGCTGAATGTCCTATCGTGCCCCGGTTGTTGGGCCCAAACCCGCTAGCCCACCTAGAGATATCTTATGCCATTGCTTTTGCTTTTCTGCCGTACACTTTCTTGGTGCTCAGGACGAAATGAGATGAGGGAATGACCCCGAGATAAACCCATCCAACGCCAAAACCGTGACCTCAAGCCCAGTTTGACGACACTCACCACCTCTCTGAGGGAAGCCATCCACAACAACTACCGAGGCCCGAGCGCGTTCAGCTCGTGAAAGCGCTGGAGGTACTTCGGGTCCAGGATGTTGCCTCAGTTGCGTGACTTACCAAGGGCCGCAAGTCATGCTGTTTCCATTCCTCCCTGTTTCCATTTTCCTCATCTGTCATGTACATTGTACACTGTTCCCATTTTCCTCATCTGTCATGTATATTGGTCAACAACCCACCCCCACCCCCTCCCGCCGTGTGCCCACGCACACACATACACACAAACAAATACTTAGGGTGCCTCCATTCCACGCAGGTTTTGTCTGCGTCAGGTCCAGGCAAGGGGGAATGTTGCTTGTTGGAGCGGGGCATAGGCCGTTGTTCAGAGATTTGGTATTTCGGGTTTAGGGTTTCTTGCAGTCTACGGCCTTGAAGGCTGACAACGCGGTGTTCATCTGAAAGGGTTTTGGGTTGTAGGTTATTTGCTTTTTTTTAGGGGTGCTGCAGGGGTTTGAGGTTGTTGAGGGAGGGTGCGGGGTTGTCTGTGAAACGGGGCACCCTCGGACTTCCCAACCACAACTTTGAGGGGCACAAAGCCAGCTGAAATGGCTGCACTGGGCAAGTCACTGACTTCTTCAGGAAATGACTCGGCAACTGATCCTCGAGGGTAACTGGCCTTAAATCAAAATTGGACAACTGCAGCATCTATTGTATGGTCTCTGTCTGAATGACAGACTTGATCTGGTGCGACTGTTTCATGTCACTTCAGTTGAAGGGTGTGTGTGTGTTGATAAATTTATGTGTGCATTTAGGTGTTGCTTGTTGTTCCTCTTCTTTTCTGTTGCTATGTGTTCCGTTCACAGAGCAACTCTTCACCGTCATCCACAATATGGACATGTTGCAACCAGCCTGCGTGACACTGAACCACAACACGCACATGAATTTCAATGCAAGACCGAGGTCCGCACAGTCTGCCTCCGCCACATCAGCGCAGGTCGCCGAGAAGAAGTTGAAGCGAGCATTGCTTGGCCAGGTAGCCTTCACCTCGGCAAGTGCAACAAGCGAATGACAAAGGTGACGTCTAAAAAGTATGCATAATCCAGCGAATTCAGTCGTTGATCATTAGTAGCTGACGAGGCTTGCATATCTCCACTTTCCCGCTTCGTACGATTCGATTGTCCATACTGAACAGTGCTGGACTGAACAAGTTGCACTAGTGCCCTTTGCTCCTGCGAGCCTCGTAACATGACCGCAACGGAAAGCAAGCACATGCAAATGCCAACATCACGACCCATGTGGTTGATGTGCTGGCAATCATCAGAATCCAATGTCTCCTACATATCATGTAGATGTTTATCCATTTGCTGAGTGCCAAGAGAATAGTATGTGTGATGAGAGTAATTACATCCGCTCCTCAACATTCCTGGACACTCGCAAATTGTCAGCTTACAAGACAGCTTGCTTGCTGACAGCATCTGTCACAGCATCTGTGGATTTGATCACACCTGAACAGCGATACAACATCCAGAATGCAAGCAATCTGGAAACATTGATTTGGCGTGAGGAGTTTTTGGGGCACTCTGATGACAACATCCCTAACGCAAACCTGCTGCTGAGGCAACCCCAAACCTGACAATCTGCTCCACCCGCCCCCACTTGAAATCACTCGCTGCATGCTGCTACTGTATGCGACCGACATTTGCAGCACCCACCCAAGTATCATCCATCGTAATCTTCTCTTCCCCTGCCCATTTGCGGATACAGGAACATACTCGTCGTGCTCCAAGGCGAGGGAGCCTCCACAAGCTGTCGGCACACTAAATCTACGTCGCAGTCCCAAATTGCCCGTGTTCGCACGTGATTGAAACGACAAATACAAATTATGTTGCCCAAAGAAAAGGTACAGATTCAAAGTCTAAGCCATGGCCAACCGGCAACGATGAAACAGAGGCAACAAATGAATCAACGGATGAGGCCTTCTCAAACATGAGCGAGACCTGAATTTCATGGGAGGCCGCACGACCCTAGCACGTCCAAACCGGGGCTGGTGCGTTTATGGCTCATGAGTGCAAACCTTGAGACAGCCTGCTTCTGGATGCCCCTTGGGGAGCAGTGTCCCCACAAATCGCGAAACCATTGCGTTGCAGCCATTCTAAATTGGCAAAGTGGCTAAATATCATGCGCGGGGCCACCATGGTGCGGTCCGGGTGCCTCAACAGAGTTCAAGTAAAAGGAACTCAGCTCAGGTTGATCCTTTCCTGCGATTGTCTGACCGACGGCTTGCGTAGTGATCATTAGCTGCTGCGTGAGAGTGCAGTTTCTCTCTAAATTGATCTGGAATGCGTGCTGGAGTTGTCAAACTGGGTTGACATCTTACAGCATCCGCGTGTTGCAAATGGCTTTACCTAGATCCTCAAGGTTTCTGTCATCCTCTTTAAACAAAGGCAAGCAAATCCTTCAGCGTCCCTACAAGTCTGACTCTGAGTCGATCGATAGCCAGGGCCTGCAGGCACCCACTGCTTCTCCGGGCGTGTCTCATTTTCCAGAAAGGCGAAGCCGCCGCAGCAGGCGACGGTGAAAATGATGCTCCCGATCAAGCTCTTGACCTCAGTGATCGAACGTGCTCTTGGTCAAACATTAGCACGTAGCGGCGGGTCAACGTGAAATCAGGGTCGGTGGAAGCTCGACCTAGCACTCCAGGGCAATAACAGCTTGGTGTCTGCATGATTGGATCACTCCACAATCAGCGTAAAGGCCGTCCAGCAAAGGGAAGCCGTCCAGCAAAGGGCAGGCCGTTTCTTGCTGAAACTGCCCCTTTTGTGAGGTGAAACTGCTAATATGGCCAAGTTGTGTATAATTTCGCTGCTACCAAAATAATATCGCAGCTACTACCAGTGTTTTCATTGTTACTATAAAAACAAGGAAGAAGCACATGGTAACGCCGTGTTCTCCCGTGTTCTGCAACAGCCATTTCCTAATTCCCAACGTTGACTCTCTTGTGCCTTGCAACGTTACCGGAATCTACAAATATACTCTTATTTGTGTGACCATTGTGACCTTAAGTTCTTCCAGGCAGGTGTCCGAGCATGTCACTTAAATGTTGGTCATGCAAAGCATAAGGCATAAAGCAGCTATGAGACGCGAACGCATCTTGCAATACCAGGCAGCTCTCTGCAAAATTGCTGTCGCGGCGGTACACAGTTCCAATAACAGCCAAATGAATGAATGCTAGAAAGCGCAAAAACTTACAGTTGAGAATGGCTGCCTGCCGAGCTGCAGGATGGTTGCCCACTTTGCGGCCCACAGACTCGAAGAAGTGCTCCAAGCAGCCCTCGATTCCAAAACCTAAGCGAATGCAGTGACTGCACGCGGGGAGGGTTATGCAGCAGGCTCAAGTCAGCCTGTGCAATGTGGAGCCTGGGCGTAACCCCCAGCTCGCCAGCTTCCCTTCATGACGAACCTCGTGCGGGCTCCTTCCTCGTTTGCAAAATCCGCCCACTTGATCTTCAGAAGGACGCGTGAAGCCCGAGAGCATCACTTACCGAAGCAGTTTGGGCCTGGCTCTGCTCACCTCACCATCTTGTGCCCTGTCAGACCCCCGTGGACATTGTGCAGACGAGACACCCATGGCGTGAAATGGCAAGAGCTGCAAAAGCACTGGCAATCTCGACTGAAAACTCCGCGGCAGGAAATGTTGCAACACTGCCACTCCGCTCTGAGTAGCAACAGTTTTTTCTCTTTCTACCACAACAGCAAGCAAAGATCATCTCATACTCATTCACAGAAGTTACACATAAATCCAGAAAGTGTCAAAATACGTGCGTCAGCTCAGTCAGCACAAGGGCATGCACAGCTGTGCACCAATACATCCAGCTCGGTGCAAGAGCACAAAGTGCAATTCTGTTGGCCAACATCTTTGAATCCGTCTTGACACATGCAGCACTGACAACTCGTGCAGCTTGGAGTAGTGGACTTGCATCGCTTCAAGAAAACGCTCAATGTGAATTTGGGTGTCTCTCTTTCTTGGGGAGCCCCCTTTTGGCTGAGTTTTAACGGAAAGCCAGAAGGAACGCCCATGATATTGGGTGGTCCCCCTAAACAGAGACACCCATTGAGATCAATGGTTGCGTGACAACCATAAATGACAAAGCATCTGCACCACCCCGTGGCCGATGCGTGCGCCTATGCGCGTCGAATCAAGCTTCGCGTGGCCTCGCGGGGCTTGAATTGAGGTGAAGGGCACCAAATCACAGGTCTGTCACAGCCAAACAAACTTGATTCATGTCAAAAGGCCTGACAGCAGCCAAAAACACGCAATCTGCTCACTAAGAAGTAGTGGGTGTGACTTCAAGTGCGCGGAGCGTCCAGTGTGCACTCTGAGAATATGCAACCATATGCAACCCCAAATGCTTTGATATAGATAAAGCGCCTGTGAACCTGATGGACGTGATCCTGATCGCCTTGGTTCACAAAAGTGGATGTCGAGTCCAGGCCAAGGACGGTTTAGGTGCGGTGCCTCCCACTTTGTTGCTTCATAGCTTGAGCTGAGTAAGCAGGGGTACAAAATCAAACGACCCCTTCTTGCTAAAGGGGAGGCGCACGGGAAGCCTGGCAACAAATCATTGCTACACTGATAATTCAATCGGATGTTGCTGCGG